TTAGACGCAAGATATCGTATTTTAAACGTTGAATGCCACTCTAATTTTACATGGCTTGACCGTCTGGCCAAACGGTAAATAACTACTAACTAAATTTGCAAATATTACAGATTTTGCTAGTTTTTTTTTAAAAGGTTTAGCATGACATATCTGAAAAAAGTGGTGAATTATATAAGCCTACGAATTGTTTAGAAATAGTGGTGGATTAAAATCTATATTGAATTTATTAAACCAAAAATCACAAATAATAAGCTACCACTTGAAAGCCTTTATTCTCTGTCCGAAGCAAGTTTGCATCTGTTGTACATAAAACTATTCTTGTATGTTCTATATTGTATTAATTTCTTCTAACCATTTTAGTAACGATAGTTTAAAAATTAAAAGCATTAAAAAATTTACTTGAATTATGTGTTTCTAATAATCTTGTCTTCGCCGGTCACCGGTGACCCCCTCGGCGCTACGTACAAACTCAGTGCCGGTCACCGGTGGCTCATCCATGGCATTCAACGTGTTAAAGTTACACAAACATTCGGGTGCCTAAGTTAAGCACGACTTGTTCCGAATTTCAGCGCAGTGCAAGGGATCAAATACACTTTCTTAGATAGCTTTACCCATTTTCTTTACACACTTCGATCTTTGTAACGAATTAGAAGCTAAACTACTTTTTCATTGTAGAATATTTTCATAGAAACATTTTAGTAAGCCCCATAAACATTTACTAAATATTTAGTAAGCGTTTAATAAACGTTCCAAAGTAAAATTATATTTTAGGAATAGAAAACAGTATACAGAATTCTGACTACTATTAATAAAATCATTGAATATTTAATTTCTTAGAGAAATGAAATAGGTTGGAATTCACTTTATTTTGAAACTGGATTTTTATGTATCAAGTTTCCCCCCCTTATGGTTTGAGCGGAAAGCTGCTGCTTTATGTGGCAAACATCACCTCAAAAATTTTAGACAGAAGAGTTATCAAAAGTTTGAAACCCATAAAGTAAACTGAATTTATTTATTTGCTAGACAGTATCAAACAGTTTAGTTCTCAAAAGCCATTTCCACGATTCCACTAAAGCTTTGATTTTTATTAACACAATTAAAATGTCAAAATATACATATATCAATTCAGAATTAAAATACCAGTATTGAGTGATTATTAATAAATCATGAAATTTATAAAACATTTTAGCAGAATTTACTGCGGCTACACGATCTAGTCTCCAAATACATAAAAAACACAGTATAAAGTACATGTGTCAGATTTAAAAACTAAAATCTGAAAAGAGCCCTATTTGGTTTCAGGCTCCTCGAACCACTAAAATAACGTTTAAATCCGTGATAATTTACTCAATAGATAAAACAATCTTAAGTTTGGATTATTATTTTGCGCACCCTATTAAACGAGTTTCGAAACCCACAAAATTTGATACCTTGCACTTAATTTAAAATCATGACTTTGAACTTAAAATTGACGCCAACAAAGAAATTCTCTACCACATCACTATACTTAAATTATATATCTCATCACGAATTTCAAAATTGTTTCTTAATCTAAGAAATTTGATTTTAATATATAAAAACGGCACACACGGAATTTCTAATAAATCCTATTCACTACAGCTCATTAACCCTGATGATTAACTTCGTCTTTAATTCAGGATAAAATTACTATTCCGGCAATCTGAGTGCACGATAAATAGAGTAAAATTTTATACCGTAGTTTACAGTTCTATTTATTTATTTTACAGTCCCAGAAAAGCATGTTAATCTTACGGCAACCTTGTTTCGGAATTTTCTGTTTAGTGTCACAAAAATGTTTGCACTAAAAATCTTTAATAAAGCAAAAACATTGCAGTTTGAAAGCTTTCATTCCAAAAAACATTAAAAATGCTTTAAAATCTTTTTTTTTTAAAAAAAGTATTGTCTCTTAGAATAAAATAGTCCATAACGAAGTTTTAGCTGACGTCACACTATCGATAGGATGTCCATTAAAATTTCATGACAAGGTAGATTTTAAGCTGAGCATAACAAGACTTTGTGACCTTATAATGAGGTCATTATAAGGTTTCGTAAAATCTTAAATCTATAGATTTGAGATTATTTTCACCCTGCGTAGAATAGAGCAGATTGTCATAAATTTCGTTTTAAGGTTAGAAAGCTTACACGTAAACCGCATAAACCTTTTTAGGTTTACATTAAAAGGTTTTTGCTGAGTGAAAAAAAACACCTTATTTTGCTATATTGGAGTCAATTTTCCGTAAAAATTAAGTTAATTNGGAGGCGAAGCCTGCAAATGAAAATCAAATTTAGAAATTAAATTTAGTTTTACCAGTTTTTCAAATTCTATTTTAGGGTTCTGTAATAGAAAATAGTTGTCAAGGCAATTTTCTCGAAATCTACAAAAGATACTCTTTTTACATTCGAATCGTAGTATTCTCGTGTAAAATAAAAAATTGCTTTTAAATCATCAGAACTCTGTATTTCTATCGAAATTTCATTTATAGTAGATAGAACTGCTAAGTATTGAGGATTGATGGGCGCAATAAAAGTCACGACCCGAAACCAACTACATACAAAAGCAGAGACATTGAAGACTTGAAGCGTTGATTAGCGGAGAAATAGAGCAGATAAATAGCACGGCCAGTAACACCCCTACTAATTACTATAGTGTTTTATCTTATGAATTTTATTTGACAATTTTACTAGTTTCTATTAATAACCTTTACTGAAATAGAATTTAATTTATTAAAAATTTTATAGTTTGTTTTTATAAAATTTACGGGACCATTTACACTGACTTATTTTACAAAATTCATTGCTTCAAATAGACTTCCTGTGGGAGATTTGTAAAATTGAACTCTTCATTTAATGGCACGGCAAAAAGCTTGCGCGTAACCCAAAAAAGGCCGACAACCGCTTAATAAAAAGTGTTGTAGAACAAAGAACAGTTCCAGAGCATTGTGAAACAACAAGTTTTTAATGAATTACTTTGTGTAAAGTATCTGCCACCACTTTTGGTACTCGGTAGAGCAAACATTTATATTTACAGTAAAATAAGTACACACAGGATTCAATAAAGTTACTTTAAGAGACAATCTGATTAAAGTGAAAAACATTCAATTTAGATTCCATGACTCTTTAAATAACATTTGTTTGAAAAACCATACAAAGGCGTTGTGTAAAGAGAATATTAAGATTATTTCGAAATAAGTTTAACAGAGCCGAAAAATAAAGTTTTCCCCTTTTTCGATTAACACCGTTTAAATTTTGTCTGAGGGCTCGATTTGGTTAAGGCTCAGTTTGGTGTTCTTCGCACTATTTTTAGTTTTTCAACATCAAGTTCGGAGAGTTAGTACACCAGTTTTCAGCGTGGTTAAAAGAATCCAGTGGAAATTTAAAGTTAAAAATCTACCAAATAATAGAAACCCTTTACCATTACTTTTGAATTTCAATGAAATACTGGTGAGAATATAGTTTGCAGAAAATTACTATCATAAAACAAAAGGTGGAAACATTAAAAACATCGTTTCTAACTTAAAATCCTAGACTGCAAACTAGAAAATAATGAATTTGGAAGTAACTTAAAATTAAGCGAGTCTGTCTAAAACAAGAATGAAACATAAGACACTCGCAAAAATCGAAAACTAGAAAAATGTAACTTTTGTCGAAAAGTTTTTAATTTGTTTTTGATGTACTTAAAAATATTCAGTTTAGTAAATTGCTATTTAACTGCCCTTTCTTACTCCAAATTGCACTAAATCTCAGTTTTAATTCTGTTAGTTTAGACCAAGACCGCTCGGTTGCTTCTCCGATAGAATCATTTGTGAATAATTTTATTGAACCAAGAGTATGACAATACTGATAGGAGTTTGTTGAACGAACATAATATACAGAATAATTTTGACTCTTTAAATCATGCGATTTTCAATGACAGAATCGGTTTGAATAATAAAACTTATGAAAAAGCTTAATTTTTCACTTCTGACTAACTATTTGATTGCTGTTGCTTAAATTTTATCAGTTTTGGGTGTTACTTTGTCTTACAATTCGAAATTTTAGACTACAAAATAAAAAATTTGCTGGGAATTATCTTCGGTTAAATAATTTTCATCAATGAGTGAGTCACCGTTTTTGAATGGATCGTTCGATGCATAAAAAATAAAATTCAGACCAGAAGCAAAATTTGAAAGTTCTTAAGTCTCAAAACGAAAAAAATTCTGATTTTACAACTAAAATACTTTTTAGCGGCGAATATTAGTTTCTATCTAATTCATAGCAGTGTTGAAGACAACCAACATGCAACCTATAGTTTTCTCCCAAAGTGTATCGACGTTCGAAAAAAAAAAGCAACAAGTTTTTAATGAATTACTTTGTATAAAGTATCTGCCACCACTTTTGGTACTCAGTAGAGCAAACATTTATATTTACAGTAAAATAAGTACACACAGGATTCAATGAAGTTACTTTAAGAGACAATCTGATTAAAGTGAAAAACACTCAATTTAGATTCCATATAAATAGGGACTCTTTAAATAACATTTGTTTGAAAAACCATACAAAGGCGTTGTGTAAAGAGAATATTAAGATTATTTCGAATAAGTTTAACAGAACCGAAAACTAAAGTTTTCCCCTTTTTGCGATCAACACCGTTTAAATTTTGTCTGAAGGCTCGATTTGGTTAAGGCTCAGTTTGGTGTTCTTCGCACTATTTTTAGTTTTTCAACATCAAGTTCGGAGAGTTAGTACACCAGTTTTCAGCGTGGTTAAAAGAATCTAGTGGAAATTTAAAGTTAAAAATCTACCAAATAATAGAAACCCTTTACCATTACTTTTGAATTTCAATGAAATACTGGTGAGAATATAGTTTGCAGAAAATTACTATCATAAAACAAAAGGTGGAGACATTAAAAACATCGTTTCTAACTTAAAATCCTAGACTGCAAACTAGAAAATAATGAATTTGGAAGTAACTTAAAATTAAGCGAGTCTGTCTAAAACAAGAATGAAACTTAAGACACTCGAAAAAATCGAAAACTAGAAAAATGTAACTTTTGTCGAAGAGTTTTTAATTTGTTTTTGATGTACTTAAAAATTCAGTTTAATAAATTGTTATTTAACTGTCCTTTCTTACTCCAAATTGCACTAAATCTCAGTTTTAATTCTGTTAGTTTAGACCAAGACCGCTCGGTTGTTTCTCCGATAGAATAATTTGTGAATAATTTTATTGAACCAAGAGTATGACAATACGGATAGGAGTTTGTTGGACTAACATAATATACAGAATAATTTTGACTCTTTAAATCATGCGATTTTCAATGACAGAATCGGTCTGAATAATAAAATTTATGAAAAAGTTTAATTTTTCACTTCTGACTAACTATTTGATTGCTGTTGCTTAAATTTTATCAGTTTTGGGTGTTACTTTGTCTTACAATTCGAAATTTTAGACTACAAAATAAAAAATTTGCTGGGAATTATCTTCGGTTAAATAATTTTCATCAATGAGTTAGTCACCGTTTTTGAATGGATCGTCCGATGCATAAAAAAAAAATTCAGACCAGAAACAAAATTTGAAAGTTCTTAAGTCTTTAAACGAAAAAATAAATCCTGATTTTACAACTAAAAATACTTTTTAGCGGCGAATATTAGCTTCTATCTAAATTTATAGCAGTGTTGAAGACAACCAACATGCAACCTATAGTTTTCACCCAAAGTGTATCGGCGTTCGAAAAAAAAAAGAAAAAAGGAAAGAGTATTTAATGTATGGTGTGAATGAGCGAGAGACTAGTGTAAGCTTCTACCATTATAAAAATTTCAGATTTATAAACATTTAGATTATTAGAGCCTATAAATTCCTGAAAGCTAGATTCGGTATTATTGTGAAAAAGTTTCTTTATAAGATTGTTTATGTTTTTAACATTTAATTTAGAAAAATAGTGCAGTTTTTACACTGTAGGCTGATTTCTTTTATTTCTTTGTGTTCCCAACCAAAACAAATTGTGTTTTTGAGAGGAAATTCTTCTTAAAGTTTAACGTTTACAAATGCTTAGTCTCAAAGAGTAAAAAAATATTTAAAGATTAAAACAAATCTTCATTAATAGAAACACAAGAAAATAGAAATGCTCACTTTTGTTTTCATAGAGATTCCACAAGCATTGGTAGTTTTATAATCAGGAAAAAGAAACTCCATTCGTAATTAGACAAATTCAGTCAGAAATCCTAAATGAAGCAACAAAGAGTAACGTTACTTTTAAAAGAAACTAGTCAAATATATAATATACATTGATTATAAAATATATTGGATAATCGTAATGGAGAAATGCATATGAACTCTGCATAAAGTTTACGAGAAATTTAAGTAGATTGCAAATTTAATAGGGATCTGTATCTTTTGGGCAACAAATTTTATTCATAGTGGTCAGGAATCTAAAAAAGATACTGCCTTGTTAACCCACTGGAACAAGATTTATAAGCAACCCGATATTATTAAAAATATAAAAATAAAGAGAATGAATTGGATGGCCCACGTGATTCGAATGAGTGATGAAAATACAATAAAAAATATGCTGCTTTTTAAACCCATTGGAACGAGAAAGCGGGGAAGGCCGCTGCTAAGACGGGCTGACTCTGTGGAGTCGGACTTTCTTGCAATTTATGAAAAGAATAGGAGATAAATCGGAAGTCATTATGGAGAAATCTTCAGATGAAGGCATTGGCCCTCATTGGGCTGTCTGGCCAACCATGATAATGGTTAGGAAACTTTGTCCAAGTCAAAGGTGTATTTATTATTTGAGTACCCTAGCAAGTTTGAAAGTGTCCAACAAGATACATTTTTTGGGGTTATATAATTGCTATGTATTTTGCTTATATTATTAAGAAAAACATGAAACGATGATAGCCAGAAAGCACAGCAGAGCTGCGATCAAAAATTTGAATGTCAATCATTATTCATGACCTAGTTTAAGAGTTTCTAGGTTGTTCGGCTGTAAGTGCTAGAGTTCCTCGGAGTCTCTGTCAAAGTTCACGTTTAATAGTAATATTAAAGTAAAAGATTAAATCCTTATTTTTCCTTCAATGTTACTTCAACTCTAAATCAAATTATCAGTAGTTTTATTATAAACTTGGGAGTCTTACTTTTATTAAAAATCGCAACACACATTTGCCCTCTTATAACTATAAAACGCTTCAGGCATCCAGATTTCCCCCTCTAGAGTTGTTTTAATATGTTTACGAACAAATAATTTCTGAAAATTTTTATATTTGAAATTTTTTTAATTTAAGCACTTCGGTTTTATAAAAAGCTCCGTCTACTCCAGTTAAAATTTCTTAAACTGGAAAAATTAAAAAGGGTTTAGTTAATAATCGAATTCTATTTAAACTTTTGGTTTGAAAGTATTGTGCATATTGACTGGAGCTTTGATTTCGTTACAAATAGTTTTGTATTGGCACGAAAGCTCGTATTATGAGATTTGAAAGGCTGCAGACGCAAAACTATATGTTAATTGAGCAACTTTTTACATGACTTTTGTCTTAAAGTTTATGTAATTTTAGACAAATCTGGGGCTGTCATTGAAAACAAATCTCTTCATATTTACTTTCTATTTAAAGTAATTTTTTCGAAAGAGTTTCTTTTACATTCAGATTCTATAAAATGTTCATGTCAAAAACAAAACTAGCAGAAAACTAAGTCTGGCTAGAACTAAATGGAAACCTGGTTTTCTAGGTAAAATGGACTTTAAGGTTTGAATGAAGCTATAGTTATAAAGTTCTCTCAAATGTAATAAGCGCAATTCGTAAGCTGTAAATTTATAATAATTGCCATTAAAAGTACCTTTTTACAGTGTTTGAAAGTTAGTTTTTACTTTAAAGAACTTGCTGTGACCTTTGAAACAAAAATTCCTTAAAAATTTAGTAATTCAAAACTTTGATTTTTATTAAAAAATAAAATTTCCGGTTCAGTTATGAATTTTTCAGCTCAGTTTCTATTCAGTCCAACCCCAATTATAATTTTACTTTTATTGAAAACGATGTTTAGTCTTGTATTCTATTCTTATTCTACTACTGAAGCAGCGAATTAGTGTTATGGTTAATGTTAAGGTATGTTACGTGATTATTGAACAGTTAGTCATTATCTGGCTACTCCAGCAGCAAATAAGAATCATTAAAACTCACAAATTTGTGATATTTTAAATGTAATTTATCTATTTACTATTAGTAATTTGACTGGACTAAATAGAGTGTTACTTTTACAATATTAGCTACTTACTAGAATAAAATTTTGATATTAGTTATCAACTACGTTGAAAATTGAGACAAGTAAGCATTTTTATGGAAAAAAAAACTTATTAAATTTTCCAACTGCAATTACACCAATATTATAAAATCTTTAGAGTTAAGCTAAATCACGCAAGAACAATTCTTCAGAAGTACTTATTTTTGAATTTGTTTTCTCAACTCATTTTAATTAGAGCACGTAGACTATTAAAAACTTAATTATATAATTAAGCTTAAAAATAAAAATCCTATTTAGGTTTTTACATTCATATAGTCCCCCCCCTCACTTCCGCCTTAGGGTTTTTAGAATTTAGTAAAATAAAGTCATAAGTCCATTTTTTTCCTAACTGAAAAGCAGGTTTACTGTGAAAGCAGACAAATTGTATGCTTTATAAATGCCCTAAAACTGTTCAATTAAAAATTCGTTCTATAAACTTGGTACCGAACGACGTAAATATAAGTCCAGTTTCTGATATTCAAAATCAGATACTTCTGAATTATTAAATATAACTTTAAAAGTATTTTTAGTCTGTTTTGTGCTTCTATAAAAATACCAAAATTTCCAGCAAAAACTTTGAGAATTGCTTGACATTTTAAATTTAATTATTAATTGAATTAATTGTTTTCAGAATCACACCCTTTTTAACTTAAAGTTGAATCTCGTGAAGAGAAAAAACGCTAATAAGGAATTACAATGAATGTTTTTATTTGAAAGCACTCAATTTTATTACTTTCGCAATAAGAATGTTAGTTTCTTCTAATTTTTGTGTCAACAATCTAAAATTGGATAAGTTTGGCGAAATTCAATTCCGAAGACTGAGTGATCGCCCGATGTTTTCAATTATACTAGCGCAAAGGATTACTTGAAGGACAAAATACCTGAGCAGAGTAAAAATCTTACATTCTTCTCGATGACTTCATAAAACGTCCCATAACATCTTAAATCAGAATTTAAAATTCGGTTAAGGAAAGAAGTTCTTCACAAATTTTGATATTTGATGAGGGAATTAGCGTACTTAGAGATGTTCTCTATATGCCCTATATTTTTATTATAAAATGATTTTTTGCATCAAACAGTATTTGCTTTTACCAATATTTACTGGAATCTTGTAATTTGACACATTAAAGAAAATGTTTAAAAATAAAAAGTTAAAATTTATGAGCATCTGTTTGCTCCTTGACTTTCTATAGAGTTTAGGAATATTGTAATCAAAATTTAATTGAAATGTTTTTAATTATATCTTGCTTGAAAAGAATTCTTAAGGCTATTTATTAGAAAAGTAAGATTGAAACTAATATCAACGATCTAATATATCTGCATGAGTCAAGATTAACATGTGTAGGCAATTAATGCGGTAAGTGTACAAATTAGGAACATTCCACATAATATAAAAAGAGTTCTTGACCTGTATAGAGTTCTATTTCAATTTGTTGCATTCGACGTTCATCTTCATGCAGTGAACTATGAGTGTTCATTCCAATAGAAGTGAGGACGGTAATAATTCTGAAAAAACAAAAACAAATCATCACTTTCATAATTAGAGATAAAATGAGTGTAAATACTTTGACAAATTTCTTTCAAAAATTACTGGAGTGGTAGCAGTTTAAAACTTTCGTTGCAAACTAATCTTAAAAATGAAATTTTAAACTGAAACTGAAATGGCTCTGGAATTAACCCGTCAATGTAAATTGATTTAAATTTATGTTTTAGTGAGAAAATTTTTTCAACTGACATGAAATTCAAGTTCAATAACTAATATTCATTTGAAACTAAGATATAGTGCTTAGAAAAAACAAATATTTAAATTTAACACAAGTTTAACAGTTAAAGTTTGAGACGTAACTAGATTTAAAATATTGTATTATATATTATAATACTTTAAAAAAATTACTAACAGAAACTCGAAATTCCGAAGACATAGTCAAACAGAATTTGAACAGAATAAGAATTTGTATCTGGGCTATCGTGGTTTCATATACACGATGGTAGAGTAAAAGGTAAAGCAAAAAGGTTTTGCGTGCACAAAACAGTTGTAAAAACTTGTCTTTAGCCAGATTTTGCTTAACTTTCATTAAAACAATCTTAAAAGTCAGATTTCCGTAAATAGCAAAGAAAAAAACTGACTTCCACTTTCAAATATAGATTAGTGTCTTAAATTTAATAAATTCAAAAACTACGCAGTTTTATTACATAGTTTAAAATATATATTTTAGAATACGCAAAGATTTCTAGTAAAAGTTTTTTTAAGATAAATTTTATGGCAAGCTTTATTTAATTTTTTAAGACTCATGCAAGCAATTTTTGAGAATCTCAAATTGCAGAGCTTACTACAGCTTACATACACACCTTGTTTCGATGTCCTTAAAGCCAGAATTCATTTCTGGTTACTTCTGTTAATCAAGAAAATGTTGCTAGTTCTTTCCATGGTGTGAAATTCAGGCATCCGGTGAGCAATAGTCAGGCTGCAAATTCATCTCTTACTGTGAAATTCAGGCATCCGGTGAGCAATAGTCAGGCTGCAAATAAATATTAACTTATTACTGGACCGTAAACCACTTACATTAGTAAATGAATACTTTCGAAGTGATTTTTAAAAAAAATTTCAGTTCAAAATGTTACGGTAAAAAGTGTACAGATTTCTTACAGCCAACGCACTAAATTAAACCATTTTGATTGGAAGAAAAAATGAAGCTGCTTAAAAAATATTTTTCAATCAAATTGTTTTTAAACTTCAGATTCATTTAATATTACACGAAAAAAAAACGACACAGTTAAAGGGAATTTTTGTTTGACAATTCAGTTTAGCAACCAGGTGGCTGATCCATTACTTATCATTGGAGAGGAATTTTACAAATTTTGCCATTTAACAAGTTAATAAAGCTTTCCTTAAACACTGCAGAAAATCTCAATTCACAGAAGCTTTTCAAATGATATAAATTTTAAGCAAAGAATTAATCAGATCATAAAATTCACGAAACCCAACTCATTTTTTGATCCCATAAGTTGCTCTTTATTACACAATGTTCTAAA